GTACTTCTGAGGGGTGTGTGTATATGTGTGTGTGAGACTGTATTTGGCATCTTTTCATTCACCCCCAAACATTTCAGGGTTTGCTCAAAAGGAGTTGTGCCTCTATGTCTTCCATATTTTTAAGCCTGATGTCCCCCTCCCCCCCCAGGGCCTCTTCCTTCCAAAGCATCCATTAATTCCTTCTCATGGTAGCCCCCCCAACCAGGCTTTGCTTCCACCATTTTTCTATTTCATCTGTAGGTTTCAGGGTTAAGCTCCTCCCTGAATATTCACAAAACTTAAGCAAGTGGGGTTGCTGGTATGATGCTATCTAGGGCAGTTTTATCTAGCTACAAAGTGTGAATCAGTGATTACACCACACAGGGCTGGTGCCAGCCAGGCGGGTTGCCATATTGCCAAGTAACCCAGTGGTGGAACCAGGTTGAGTTGAGTAATATACCCCAATGGGAAGTGAGTTCATTAATCATGCAGCATAGTACCCTGTTGACTAAAGAGTAACCCTGAAGGCCTGGTTTGATTGGAGAAGGTACAGGTGGGGCTGGATGCTAACTAAGAAGACACCCAGTGACTCTATTGTCCTCTGATAACATTCACATGAGAAACACATAGAAATCTGGACAAAAACATCTAGCTTACCAAACAGATGGGTTATATGCTCAATCATTAGGACTTTTGACCATTTTGGATTCCTTGTGTTAAATAAGATACCTTGTGACTCTAGATAAAGCTTCAAATTGGAATATTTAAAGTGTCATCAGGTGAGGAAAGGGAATTCAAGATGGCAGCCAGTGACCTAGAATTCTGTAGTTGGGCAAACTTAAATTCCATACTGCATTCTCTTTATTCATCTCTCACTTTAAAAATATTCTGTTCTAAGGCCACAGCCCACTTCTTCCACCCAAGTCTGGCCACAACTGCTTGGCAACTATATTCAACCACAGGCATGCTGGTGGTACAGTGGTTAAAGCACTCAGTTCTTAACCAAAAGATTGGCGTTTTGAACCTACCAGCTACTCCATGAGAGAAAGAAGTGGCAGTCTGCTTTTGTAAAGATGATAGCCTTGGAAACTCTATGGGGGGCAGTCCTACTCTCTCCTAAAGGGTTGCTATGAGTTAAACGCACTCGATGGCAGTGGGTTTGGTTTTTGGTTTGTGTTGTTGTTGTTAAGTGCCATCAAGTCACTTCCATTTTGACATAGCTCAGCATCATGCACCAAACCCCTAATCTTTGGTGAGGCAGATAATATATGAAATGCATAACAGAGGAAGGAGCCTAAGTGCTTTCTTTTAGAAGGCAGGCAGGAAGAAAGGGAGGGAGGGACTCTGACTTGTCCAGAAGACTGCCCTAGCAAAATCCTCACAGGGATAAAGGATTCTAAAGATGATGAGGAATATGGTGAGGAGAACAGGAAGGAGATGTAGACACAAGGAGGATGTTGTTAAGTGCCCTTGAATCAGTTCCAACCCATAGTGACCCTGTATAGGGTTTCTGAGGAGCAGCTGGTGAGCTGAACCGCCAATCTTATGGTTCAAACCGACTTTGCAGTCCAGCGCATTAATCCACAGCACTACAGTAGGAGGAAGTAGAGGGCACATATTTCTTCTAGAGAAATAGAGAAAGTCCTCAGGCTGACAAACTCAGTTAAGAAGGGTAAGGTTTTAGGGGAAGAAAGCTCATAGGGTAAAAGCACTGTTTTTATGGGAACTAGAAGTCATAAGATGCAAATGGTTGATACCACATCAAGCATTCCCCATGTGTTCTCCAAATCTCAAATGTTATTTCTTCCTTTATCTGATCCTTTGATAATTCCAAAGAGTTTTGCTTTTTTTTTTTGCCAGGACCACCTTTACCAAGCAGCTAAGGCCTGAGGAATCTTGTCTAAGGGGGATTGAAGTTGTAGAAAGTTAAAACCTGATTTTCCCCAATTATATGACCACAAAAGAGCTTCTCTCTCCAGTGAACTTGTCAACCCTGAAGAACTCCTCTCAAATTTTCACGTGTTTTTGCTAAAAGCTTTAGCAAGAGAACTACTCAGTATGGCCATAGAGACTCTCCAGGTCCCTATTCTGTTGCTTTCTGTGACCATTAGTCATTCATAAACCAGGAGAGTCCCCTCCCTTCTACCCTCAAATATCCACTGAAAACTCAAGGAAAGGGTTCTAGAAGATTCCTGTTACCAGTCCTGACTGCCAGAGATACAAGGTGAAGAAAGTTTATCAAATCTTTTTATATATCTGGCAGTTTGGGGCTCCCAGAAGGATGAAGGGGAAACCTATTCTCCTAGAAGCACATTAAACATTCAAACTGGATTTATAAATACTTGAACCTGCATAGAATTCTGACTGACTTCCAATACAGAACCAAGTTCCACATTTCTACTTTGAGAGGTTTTAAGCAAGAACAAAGAGGTCTGATAGCATAGTAGTTATGAGTTGGGCTGTTGATCCCAGCAGTTTGAAACTACCAGCTGTTCTGCTCCCGTAAAGATTTACAGCCTTGGAAACTCTATAGAGGGTCACTATAAGTCCGTACAAACTCCACAGCACATCATCACTACCACCACCAGAGCAAGAAAGGCAAAACCAAGCATTGGCGCGTACCACACAAACCACCAGCTAAAAACAAAACAAGACAAAAAAAAACAGGCCAAACTAAAACTTTATGCTAGAACAACAAGAAATAAAATAAGGAGATTTATAGGCCGGCTGATTGTCAGCAAACACAATATATTTACTGTATTAGCATTTGCTCACAGTGCAAATGGTACAACATTACACCATTTCAATATTTCAGTTTTTAAAAATGCTGTTTTCATTAACTATATTATATTGGCATAACAATGTGACAAAGGAGCAAATGAAATGTTGGTGAAGAATTTCACCTTTTCACAATATCAAGCATATTTTTTTTAACCTTAGTATAAGGTACTATAAATCCAAGAAATAAAAACATCCACAAAATATATTACATCTGGTTTGTCTTTTTCTAAGTACTCAACTTTATACAAAAGTCTTTCAAAAAATATCATTCCCCGTAGGTTTTCCTGTTTAAAACCTGATTTTTTTTTCTTCTCTCAGTTCACATAAGTTAAGAGTGCATTTTGTTTGTTTTTTTAAACATGCAGACATATAAAAAAAATCTGGATAGCACAACCTTTTGGCAACAAAGTTATTTTTCTCTTAGTTTAGCTTAAATGTCTGAGAACAGTTTTATTAAAACAAAGGAAAACTCAGAGTTATCATGCAGTGACATGCATATACCAGAAGGAGCAAGGAAAAAATATTAAAGGATATCTGATTCCTCCTTCCAGCTTTGAAGTGACCAAAATTTTTGTCTTTAATAATCATCACATTATAAAAAGTATTCAGCAAAATACTGTCTCTGCAAAGAAAGATTTTACCCTTCAGCTGAAAAAAATATGGGCCCTCTTGGCAAACAGTCATCTTCTTCTCTCTCCTACAAAAAGTCCAAGTACCTGGAAATTCACAACCCCCCGGTCTTTGATTATTTTTTGCTTTCACTAGAGTCCTTTTAGTATTATTTAATCCACCCCCCCAAAATGTTTTTGTTTTTTTTTTTTGCTTAAAAAAAAAAAAAAAGTGGGAAACGCATAAAGTGACTTTAAAAACAGACATTCTGTAAACTCCAGACCTTTGTTCCTTCTCTCTGGGCAGCTTACTGACCACAAGAGAAATAACGTTAATAGGGGACAGTACATTCAGTCAAGACTGTGCTGGAAGCTGTGTCAAAGAGCAACCTTCTCTACGACTCCACTTTAAAAGAGCCACCCCTATACAAAGAAGGGCTGGACAGGTCGACTGGGGAGGAGGGGGGTGCCTGAGAAGAGGTGAGGTAGGGTGGGGAGAAGGTGAGATTGGAATATGGAAAAGATATGCCTCATTCATCAACATGGAGTAATGCAAAATTTCCCAGATCTCTGAGGAAAATTTGGATATATATGTGTGTGTGTATGTATACATATATAGCTATATATACATACACACATATAATGTCATCAGTTAAATTTTTCATAAAAAATAAATCATTTAAAGCTGTATATGCCTACAAATTCTCTTTATTCCAGTGCACTGCACTGAATAACCAAGTACCTTAGAAATTTGATTTTGTTAGGAATATATATTATGTGTGGATGTGTTATATGTACACATATATGCATATATATATACACACATACACACACCATATATATACTTAAATTCTGGCTCACAAATGGCAGAAACAGAGCCAGCCTTCCCATCAATGGTGGGAAGAAGAAATGGGTATGTGAGAGAGAGGAAACTTAAAAAGATGGTGAAATGGGGAGGCTGGTTGAGGCCTGCCTTTCTGGGAGAGATTTAGAAAGGAATGGGAGAAGAGGGCAAACTCTGGAACATAGATTTTTTAAGTGGGCTGAGGAAATTCATTTTTTAAAAGGCAGGCTCAGTGATGGCTGCTCCTTCTCCCCGAAGATCAAACTGCCCTGAGGCCTAAGAGGGAAGCGCTCGGAAAAGAAAGGGGTTCTGAGGGGCCAAACCAGAAGCGGCGGCGGCAGCAGCAGCACCGCGGCGGCGGCATCCGAGGCATTTCTGTAAGAAACATTATTTCCGAGCAGATGGAAGACCATCTCGTCCAGCCACGTGCAGGCACCCAGCCTGGGAAAAACCCCAGCGGCTTGGGGACCTAATGTGGGGAAGAGTTTGGGGTGGACACAGGCCAGTTCAGCTCAAGAGTCTCTTGCGCGCGCGTGCGCGCGTATACACACACACACACACACACACACACACACACAC